TACCTGTGACAGATATGAACAAGATCCCTTATTAAAATAATTATATGTAGCTAGTCTTATTTCTGTTTCTTTTTTGGTGGGATTGGGGTTTGAACTCAAGGCTTCACACTTGCAAAGCAGGCATTCTACCATGTAAGTCACACCTCCATTCTGTTTTGTTCTGGCTTTATTGGAGATGGGATCTCATGTGAACTATTTGCCTGGGGCTGGCTTTGAATTGTGATCCTCTAAATAGCTAGGATTGCAAGTGTGAGCCACCTGTAATTATTTCAGTGTTTTGAATTTCACATTTTTGATTCAAATGACTGTTACCTTGAACTTTCTGATATGCATAAATATGCTTATGTATGTGTATTGATGTATGAATAGGGATAGCTAGATGGATGAATGGATATGTAAGTAGGTAGGTAGGTAGGTAGATAGGTAGATAGATAGATAATAGATATCTGTGCTGATAATGCACAATGTTTATGGAAAATTATTTTTAGGAAAATCTATTAGATTTTAATAGATAATAGATAATAGATATCTGTGCTGATAATGCACAATGTTTATGGAAAATTATTTTTAGGAAAATCTATTAGATTATGCTTAGAGATATAAACTCCTAAAACAGAAGTTATACACTGGCCTCCCTAGGAGTTGAAAAAGACCCACAGAACTTGGTTTTGTTTGTCATGCCTGCTATTTTATTATTGTTGTTTTTATTTTATTATTATCATTACTTAATCTTTAGCGATCAGTAGATTTCACAAAAAAGTCCAAATTCTCAGTCTCCTGAAAATCAGGAGATACTATAAGAAATTGCATGCAATTCAAGCACTGGTTATGCTGTGATTTTAAACTGCAAATGGCAACAATTTAAGGGCTTCTATCCCTTCATCTTGATGCTTCTCTTCCGTATCAAATGGTGTAAGGTACAAGCTCTGAAATGCTTACCCAGAATGCTCCCTGGCTTAATGGGGTATTACATGCCATCCTATTCCACCTGTAATTTCTCCCCCAATTTCTATGTTATATCAATTTCTCTTCCATATAGTTTTTCACATTGGGACCTATTTTCTTCCTATCCTTGTTATGAGTTTTATCCAGGTCCTCTTTTCCTCACTTCAGGGCTGCTGAATGTGTTGCTGTCATAGCTACCACCATCCTTCTTCCCTTCCCTTTCCCCTGCATACTGGCCATAGATTTTGTTTTTATAGGACTGAACCACATTTCAATATATTAGTCCCTGCCGTGACAACATGGAACCAATGTCCAACTTCTTCAAACAAAGCTAGAAATCACTCTGGTTTTCCCCTTCATCTTGTGTCAATTCACACACACAGATAATAACCAAATGTGCCCATTTCCCTAGCACTAAACTAGGCATCTTCCACCTCTCTGATGGCAGTACTCCCAGAATTCCCTCCTCCTCATCTCTACGAGCAGATGGTGACTGGCCTTTTTAGACACCTTCATCCACAGTTACAGGATGCCCTTCATTTTTCTTGGAACTTATTTCGTACTGTATCATGTTACTCTGCTTGTTTTAGTTTTTAGTTTCTGGTTTTTGAGACAAGATGTTACTACATAGCCCAGGCTAGCCTCAAACTCTCCATCCTGCTGGACTTACAGGTGTGCACTACCATGTCTGAACTCTGATTATTTTAAGCAAGTTTTCTCCCAGTATGATCTCTGGACATCTTACTTGAGAATCATCTTACTCTTAAACATTTCTGTCCATGGTTTCACCCATATCCTCTTAAATTCCTTCTATTTGCACCCAGAAATGTGAGAGAGAGACAGAGAAGAGACAGAAATTTGAGAACTCCAGAATTTCAAGGCAACATAACTGGTATTGGTAGAAGATTGCTGGATAGTTTGACAGAGGTTGAAATAGGATTCAATTCATTTTAAAATTAGTGCATTTGCAGGTCAGCCAGTGGTGTTTCTCAAACACTGTTTACCCTAATGATTGATGATAGCTCTGAGTGTGGCTTTCATCGGTTTTTTGATTCCACTATGAGGCTGTCAGAATTATATGCATGTGAAGGAAAATGGAAGGCACAAAAGAGCCCTTTTGACTTTCAGGCAAAAGCAAGATGACTAAACAACAAACTCCTTGAATGCAGTGTTTCTTCTTTATGATGCTCTCTAACATGTTCTTATCTTGGCTCTAGTAATGACACAATTAATAAACATTGAATTAAGTTATATAAATTGAATGAAGATTTGAAGATGAGGACTTCGAAACAGCAGTACTCAGAATGGTGGTGATGGTGATAACTTTTTTTTTTTGTCTGTTCTTTTTTGATGCTGGGATTGAACCCAGGGTTCACACATGCTAGGTAAGCGCTCTGTGTAAGTACTGACTATATCCCTAGCCCAGTGGTTGTGTGCTCACCCTGAGGTCATATGCTATACTGGGTGCTTTTTGTAGACAGCCACCATTAGTTCTTACTCCATCCCTATTCAGGCTCTGCTCTGATTATCCACAAGTGGGCAGAATTCATGATGTTGGTCCAGCGGGAGATTACCTGGACACTGTGATGTGAGATGCACTCACTTTTGACATTCAAGAAAAAAATCTTTTTTGAACAACTTAAAGCATTTATTTCATTTTCTTTAAAGCAGGGTGGCAGGGAGGAGGTTGATGAATTTTAAATTGTGATTGTTAACTGTTGGGGAAGTCACTGTAATAAGTTGACTTAAGGAAAAGAACAGAATTTGGAGGCAGGAGACCTGGATGTGAGATCCATGTCTCCCCTTTCAGTTCTGCAAGTTTTCACATGACCCATAGTCTCTGTTAACCTCAATGCTTTAATCTGTAAAATGGTGACAATTTGATTGCATCCCAGCTTACTGTAGATATCAAGTAAAGAAAGTTCATTAAAACCTATCAAAAATACACAGTGCTAATACTAATTCAGATTGTTCAAGGGTAAAGCAAGCTCTCGAAAATACTACAATTCTGAGTTATATTTTAAAGAAGACAAGAAATACAGAACTAATGAAATTTCATTCTCAAAAATCCAACGAAGCTGGTAATCTAATCTCCAGGCAAGGAATCAAAGGCACAGGGAGGTAGTGTAACCTGTTAAAGTCATACAAGTAGTAAATAGCTGAGCTGAGATTTAAAACCATGCCTGCCTGACTTCTAATGCCATGGACTTTTTACAGCACCAGTTTATCTTTTTTTTTTTTTAATAAGCCAATCCATACACTTTTTCTTAACAGCAAAAATGAAAGACATTTACATTTGAAACTAACTCATCCTGATAATTCTCAATTAAGATGTTGTCATCTAGCATCTGGCTCAATTTCCTTTTATGAAATATTGTAAACATAATTTGAGTGTAGCTTAAATGAAGTGTCCAAATGGGATAAGAATAGGTCACCTGGGAAATTAGATTTTACAGATTATAAGAATTCAATACCTAAGCTGCATTTAATGGACATAATTTTTAAAAGAAAATTCTTTAGGAAACAATTAATCTATCAATTTCATCATCATCTCTATATATGACATCTATAGTGTGGACCAATTAAAATAAAAATAAATAATATAAACCACTATAAGTGGTTTATAGAGAGCATCTGTATTGAGGATTTGGGATTTGTAAGGCAAGCACAGGGGGTTCTTTGATCCAAGCTCATTTTTTTCTTCCACCTTGTTTTTAAAAGATTCTATTTAAAACATCTTTTGATAAAAAGCAGACAATTCTCTAGCCCTGTGGCTTTTTGAAGGAAGTGATTCTGAGAATACTTTATGTTTGTATCTACTTTTATCCTGAAATAAAGTCTCTTAAAGAGATGATATCTCACTGTTACTTTTAATCTCTGGGCAGTTGGGGAGAAGAAATGACTTTTTTAAGTGAACATTTTCAAAAAAAAAAAGGATGGAGGATAACTGGGTGTGATGGCATGATAAAGTTGGAGGTGTTGATTTAATCACTGTAAGAAAATATTTTCTGAACACAGATTGTGTTTTAAGAAGTAGCTGAACCATCTTTTCCTTTGGAACATGGTAAGATGGTGCTTAAATTCATATGCTATAGCGTTATACAACGTGGGATGCAGTCCTACCTTTGAATCTTCCTGATTTTGTAATTTTAGGTAAGTTACTTGAACTCTTCTAGGCTCTGTGTTCTCATTGGCAAATTTGAGGTAACTGCTTCATAGGTTGTCATGATGATTCAGCAAACCACCAGTAAATGTTGTTTATGTTATCATTATTTCTTTGGAGATGTATAACTTTTTTGATTTTTTTTTTAGTCTTCTATGACCTCATAAAACACTTTTTAAGGATTTCAACTATATAAGAGTTATCTCTTTACAATTTAATAGGTTAATGAAATTGTGAAAAAGACACAACATGCATATTTACATAAAATATCAAATCAGCTTCCTTTAAGAGACATTAACGATGTTCATTAAACCAAAAAGATTATAAAACCAAGCCTTCTAATAAACAATCATGGGTTTAAACATATTTTCGCAAGTGCACGAATTAGTACTCATCGTAGGAAAACATATCGATTTAAGTGTGTATTTCAAGTAGCCGTCTTATGCACGCTGTGCCCTGGCTGACAGCCTTCTCCCCTGGGGATGGTGGCTTCTCTAATTGCAGGGAATGGTGATTCTATTTGAAGGCATTACTTCCTATGGCCTGCCTTCCTTTCTGTGATTATTATTTAAAAATACTTGTCCTCAAATTACTCAGTCTTCTTGGTCATAAAGGAGAAAAATCTACAGTACTATAAAACCCTGCAAGAGAATACGCATCCAGATTGAAAATACATGTTAAGTTGTATCAATAATCTGTTTGCTGGAATAAGAGATGCAGAAGAATTTCAGTACTGTAGATCCAGTACCACATACTGATATTCAAATCACATGTATATAAAAAAAAAGAAATACTAATATCATTGGATAGCTCCTTCTTATCCCATGCTATCTCTTGCTTATAAACAAAAGCAAAATTTTTATACCAATAAAAAAATCAAAAGAAGACTTACCTTCCTTTAACCAAGAAATGTTATTTTTGTCATTTTCAAAATGTTCAGCTGCTCTTACTTTTATCTTTTCCAGCTCAGCTTCTGACATCTAAGAGGAAACAGAAATTGTGATATACAAATGCATTAAGAACCCAAACTCATAACATTGAGTTTTATATTTAGAGACTGATACCATATTTTGGGAAACTTTTATCTCTATAGTGAACTGAAGTTCACTGTTTAATATCAAGCCTTTCATTTTATCCATTTGCATTATTTTAAAACATTGACATTGAGAACTAAACTTTGTACGAGACAGTATTTCATTGATGAGCAACAAAGATTTCTACAGGATCTTATAGTTTTCGAATGTGAAAGAATAACAGATTAATAACTACACGAGAATTTGTAAAAACAAACAACTGCTGTTTTAGTGCTTCTTGTAGCCTATAAGAAAACATGCTGCAATACATACAGGCATATAAATAACAGTGAAACTCAAAACACAGAAGGACCTTTTCAGGGACTTGTTGGGTAGCCTTACTACTAAACTATCTCAACTTGAACTTCCTGAAGGTGTTGAGACCCTCAGTACTACTCAAGGCTTGCTCAAGATGAATGCTCTGCTTGATTTAACACCACAGTGTACTTACCTGTGTGTTCCAAAAGGAGGAGGCCCAAGGTATGGGACTGGATAGCAGTGCGCAGCAGCCTCCCTTGTCTCTTGGTGTCCAGCATTCCTCTACCCTGGCAGAAGTGAGCGAAGAAGTAAACACACTCCCTCCCCGGGTGGTGCTAGATTTGTATTGCTGCCAGGAGCATCCAACTTGCAGCTGAGAGGTTTTATTTTTTCCTAAGGTAATATAAAGCCTGTGGTTCAAAACAATAAAACCTCGTCCAAGCTAGCTCTTATTGCAAAATAGGGCAAAAACAATGAACCTTTTTCAAATGGACAAAGTTTCTTCTGTCCCCTCCCTTCTATACCCGCCATTCATTACTTGGGGTTAATAGTAAAAGGTGTAGAGAAAAATACTAAAAAATATTGGCTTAAAAGAAAAGGAGACTTTTAAAGCAGCTTTCTCTGGAAGTTCATTCTGCAGCTGGTATTTAGAAAAGCATTATTTTTGCTTCAAATAGAAAATTTAGAACACATGAAATATCATGTGTTTATAAACATTTTATAAGCAACAAAAAAACATTTCAAGTTCTTTTGATCATCGATGGATATCCCAAAAAGGATTTGGAAAAAAGCATTTGCTATTAGATGTTTCAGGAGGGCTAATATTGTTTACAATGGAAGAGTAAAAAGAAAAAAGCATAACCCTTGGATACTCATGATGAATAATTCATCATTCCAAAAAGTTGTCATTTTTTTTTATCATGGAAAATACTTTTTCTTTTGGTTCCAAATGGCTTGCCTCTTCCAGTGTCTTTGCCTGGACAGCAATGTCATCTGTTTGCCTTGCATCCATTTCCTGCACTATACCAACTTCATTTCTTCCCATACTTTGCTTCCAGAGTAACCATATTGGGCTGGTGGACTGGCTCAAGCGGCAGAGTGCCCACCTTGCAAGTGTGAGGCCCTGAGTTCAAACCCCAGTGCCACCAAAAAAGAAAGAAACAAAGAAAACAGAATCACCATGTTTAAAACTACCCTGGTACTCATGCTACCAAGCATAAGACCCCAAAGTCAAATCCTAGTACCATCAAAAAACATTAAAACTACCTTGATCAGCCAATTTTCACATGAAAGCAACCTTCACTTTCTGCCACAATGAATAAGATACATTTCAGATTGCTTAGACAACCATAGAAGGCTTTGAATGGTCAGATCTCGATACATGACTTTGCACATGAAGTCCAGCAAAGTCAAGGTTCCATGGTGATTCCTTGCATTTTTACTTTACCTAATAACAGAATCTGCTGTCCTGAAATTAACATTACTAGAAATATTGCATCAAAATTCCATCTCTCTCGTGTGGAAGTGACCTTTCCCTTCCCTGACCCCACCCAGAACTCAAGTTTCATTCTAGTCTTTCTGTAAACCTGTCCTGTGTAAAGGACAAAGCTATAACCCCCCGAAGAGGTCAACTTCTGTGTATTTAGTATGTAGGCTTCTTGCTTCATATTTGACTTGACTGTTCACAAATTAATGATTGCTAGATAAACAAACGCAGAATATCAAAAACTGATGATAGTTTTTCCCTTTGTTCCAAAGTCATAGAATAACATGATTACCAAGTTCCTTTAGTTTCTCTTGTCTAGAATTATAGTGTTTAATGCCCCTCCTCATACACCTGGGCACCTAATCTAGTTCTCTTGATAGCTTAATTATTGTCCTTTGGAAAAGCAAATTATCCAAATTTGGTAAATAATAATTACAGCAATCTTAAAGCAATGAGCAGAGATCGCACAGGAGCTAAAGGAGAGCTAAGGTGAAAATAAAAGAAGAGGAAAGACAATTATGTACCAGAATAGAATCGCTTACCCACAGTCACAGCTGAATATAATATTCCTGCAAGTTTATTTGTAGCTCTTTTTTATTATTAAACCATATTATTATTAACAGTATTTCTCATCAGAAATAATGTCTGTTTTAATTTTCAAAATGGATTTAAATCTGTGTATGATTAGAAAGTTATGTAACCTTATCTGTAAGGCAGAGAACTCACGTCGCCCCACAAACATGAGATGCTTCCCAGCCCAGCCCATTATTAAGCCTTTGTACGATGTGATAATCATTTTTATGTGTTTAATACACACATTCAACCAAACTATTTTCCAATTTTCCATCCCAAGAACAACCCATGTCTCAAATCTTTGTAGACATGCCTTGATTCAAGAATCATGTATTATTCTCACGAAACTCATCCTTTGATAATTTTTGGCCTCTGTGTTTTCCATTTGTTTTACTTTTGCCATTACTATAATATGATTGTTTGAGAGATGGTATTAAACAAATTTAAAACTTTGGAATACTTGTGCAAGGTTTTGTTTTAAGGAGACCTTTTTTATGAGAAAGGAAATTTTATAATTTACAAATAACAGTTAATTTTGACTGGTGGGTGTTAGACATGTGGTCAGTCCTAACTCTTGGAATTTTTATCTTATTTTGCTTTTTCATTTTTCTCTGCCTGATTTTTCACTGTCCTTTAATTTTGGTTGCCCTTCAACTTAGCCTTTGCTCTTAAGGGTTTATTACTTGAATTTTCTGCAGGGAATTTTCTTTCATTCAGAATAGCACTAGTTTGCAAAGTTAGACGATGCACTTTGAATCATATTGGTGTCTTTGTGAGTATTTTCAGTCGTGCTTTATGAGAGCTGTAGGTATTAATAAGCATAGGATTCACTTCTTCTTCTACCTCATAAGTAAAGATAAGAATAGAAACTTTGTACCTTTTCCTAAATCATCTGTACACCACTAGTGTGCTTGTTGGCACAGTAGGTGAGCACATTTATTTTGATGTGAACCTTTAAGCCATTTATTCATCCACTTAGTGATATCCATGGGCTACAGAATTCTCCATCTGAGTAATGAAATTTGGCTTGTATTGAGGTTGTAAGTTCTAGCTGGTCTTTGGGATGAATGAGACAAATCCACAATCGATGGCTAAGAATAAAGAAAAAATGAAGTCTGATGAAGACCAGGCAGGAAAGACTGGGAAACAAAAAAAAATGGTCAAAGACAGAGCCCCAAAGTGACAAGCAGTCTCAGAATCATGCAGGTTTGATCAGAAATCCAAGTAGTAGACACATTTGTTAAACAATCCTCTGCTAAATAAATTCTTTGTTCATTGTGCCCATTTAAAATCATGAGTTAAATGGTACAGACCCAGGTTTGTCATTCCAAGAATCAAGCTTTCTTCTAAAATTCTATTTTTAGTCTTTTAAAAATGGAGACAGTGTAAATGTACTCTTTATAATTGCAGTTGTATTCCTTTTGTTTTGACTGATGTTTCAGTATTTCTGGTTCCTGATCACAATCTGATCCTGAAATAGAATCTTAAAGGGCAAACTATCCTGCAGAAGGCAATCTTTGCCAAGAGAAAAACCTACAAAATTATCCCATTTTATGTACTTGTTTCTGTTAAAATAGGATTAAACACATGAAGCCAGAGTCTTTTTAACAAATAATAAATAATGCTATCATATTAGTGTTTTAATTGTCTAAAAATATCATGTTGTCATTTTATGTTGTTTGTAAAACAATGAAAATCTATGTTAGAAAATTTATTCAATGTATAGATATATCAACAACTTAATTATTAAAATTGAGGACTATAATTTATGGAATAGTGCTCTTTTCATGGATTTGTGGTTTGGATCCAAACACAAATCAAATGGTATAAGATGGCGTATTTTTGCTTTGAAAATGTGTTTTCTTCTGTAGAATAGAATTTCTGTTATTTACTATGATCAAAGTTTTTTCAGTAGCTATTCTAATGACCAATAGACGCTATCCGATACATTACATTTTACATTTTTTCTTTGAGCTGTCTCTACTTCTGTCTTCCACCTGGCCCACCATAGCCTCTTATAACAACTTTACCTAACCTTTAATAAACTTTTATTATCACCCTCAAAAATGTTCTCTTTGGGATTTTGTGGCCTCTATATAAGAATACACATGGTGTGAACAAACAAACAAACAAACAAAACTTGATCCAAAATATCAAAGACAAAAGTAAATAAAGAAAGAAGAATATTCCATTTTGTCATGTAGACTTTCCTGGGGGAACATTACAACTAACTAAGCATGCCAATTCAAGGATTTATTAGATGTTAGATCTCGTTAAAAGTTTAGGTTGAGATAATAACACTTAGAGACATAAAAATGCATTATATTTTATCCTTGTTTCAGCCCTTAACCAAATTATTTATACATGTTATAAGAGTTGTTTTACCTACTTCGAACTTAGCTGTCAATGAGAAATGATGTTAAAGCAAATATGTGAGTGAAATTTGCTAGTGACTGTAGTATGCAAGCTCTTAGCTCCTCCAGAGACTACACTATGCACCCTTAGCTTAACGTAGCACACTTAGGGCAAATATTGTTCCATTTCATGTTACATGTAATAACTTTCTGTGTGCATTCATTTATACATTCTCTCTTTTCTACTGTTGTTTTCATAGATTTCAAATTTACAAATGACATAATCCCATAAGCAGTGTATGTGTGTACAGTTAGTTGTCTTGTAAGGAAATTAAGAGACAATTATGAATTATGTTTATTCACAACATTATCTTGTCTGGTTTTCTTCATTACTTCTGGTAGATCAGAATTTCCATCTGACCCCACTACTCTTCAATCCAAAGGACTTTCTTCTGCATTTCTTGAAGTGCAAGTCTGCTGGAGACATTATTTCAGATTTTGTTTGTATGAAAATATCTTTAGTTCACGCTTCTTTGTGAAGGATATTTGTTCAACATTTTAATCCCTGATTCTCTCTCTCTCTCTCTCTAGCTCCTCCTCTCCCTCCATTCCTCTTTTCCCCCTTCCTCTTTCTCTGCCTCTCCCCTTTCCCTTTCCCCTCTCTCTCCCTTTCTTCCTCCCTCCTTTCTTTCTGCATCATTCTTGTTATTGTTCCCCTATACCTAACATGTCTTTTTTCCCCCTTGACTTTGCTTTGGGCTTTGCTATTGTTTCTTTGTTTGCAGTACTAGGATTTGTTTGTACTTGGGTCCTTGATTTAATAGGCAGATGCTGTACCACTTACTTGAGTCACACCCCTAGTCATTCTTTGCTTTACTTATTTTTCAGGTAGGGTTTTACATTTTTGCCTGGCTGGCTTCTGTCTGCAATCCTCCTACCTATGTCTTCCCAC